TAAAAAATAAATGAGAAACCGTTTTTATTTTTTGGTTGTTTTATGTTACATTTTGCATTAATCAAGTAACTATTATTAATTTTATTATATAGTAGTTACTACTAATTAATCGTAAAGTCACATTAAATGATACTTTTTTTTTCAAACTATTTATTTAAAACTATTATTTCTTTTTTTTTTCCTAGCTCAATAAACATATTTTTTTTATTAAAATGAATTAATTATTTTTTATGACATAACTAGATTTTTAAAATTCCGTGTTAGACTAATAATTTCAACACTGTTTTATCTATTTATTGGTCATAATCACCCAATATTGCAAAATTTACATTATTTGCAATCAACAAAAAGATAAGTTATATTTATATTGTTCAATGTTACTAATGATAATTTATGACTTTAATTATTATATACACACACATATAACATGTAAATTTTATTTGCATTTATGAATGTGAACATAGTCGAATACCAGTTATCTACTGTTATAACTAAAGTTATTTTTCATTTCAATATTCATACTAAATTAGACACAACAGAAAATCAACTTACCCCACAAAAAAAAAAAAAAAACAAAAAAACAAAATTGTGGCACATGCTAATATAAAGTGTAGGTAAAATGTAATTGTCAAATGTTGCAAAGTCTATATATTAACTAAAAGTTGATTAGTTTGTTTTTGGTAAACTAAAACGTTATAATATTTTTAGTTAAGGGTGTTGCTTAACCTTCAAACATACAAAGGTGAGCAATGTTTTAAATAGCAGGCTAAAACGTTTATGGCACTGTAGCTATAGCGGGGCTGTAGCGGAGATTTAACGGGATTTAGCGGCTAAATTGCACATGAATACAAATAGCGGCACGCTGTCAAAAAAAGCTATTTCTCAAATAGCGGCAACTGTAGCGAACTATTTATTTTTTTAAATGTGACAAATTTAATGAGATTTTTAGTGTTAAAAAATCAAACATATGATCTGACTAATTTAATGTGATTAATTTGTCATTTTTTTTTAATGTAAATATTAATTTGTCAATTTAATCTGCCTCGTATTTTTTTGTTCCTCTTCCCTTGGCCTGCTGGGCCTGGGCCTACACTACACGGACACTTCTGATTGGACCTCACAATGTCACATGAGACTTTATTTCTCTCTGACCTTTACTATTATACACCTTACTAGCTAGTTGCAAATATAACTCTAACTCATAAAAATAAACCTAAGATCTATCTAACACTATCTCCACTATCTCATTAATATTTACGAATTCAACTCGAACTTTAACAAAAAATAAAATTTATATAAAAATTGTTGTTTTTGAGACTTAACGAGTCAAGTTGAACTTGATCAATTATCTGACAAACTTTAAATGAAATTAATCAGCCAAATTGAATCATTAATGAATCGAGTTGATCTCATAAACTGCTATTTCATGATATAATCACATTTCACAACTAATAATATTGAAAAGGGGCCAATATAAAAAATCTCGAGCTCAGTTAAACTCGACTAGTTAATTAAATAAGTTTAAACTCAGCTCGTTATCAATATTGACGAATCAAATTTGAGTTTCAACAAACTGAATCATGAAAATTGTACCAAAATCTATATTTTTTGTTTAAGTCTTAACGAACTTAGCTCGATTCATTAACTAAACGTGATCGAACTCGAAAACAAATGGTGCTGAAGTCACAAGCTATCCTAATAATTAATACTGAAGGTGGACAAAACAAAAAAGTCCTCAACCGTAACTTGTACGACTTTAATTTCGGTGGATTCTAAAAAAAAAAAGGTCTCAACACGACTCTCTCGAATTTATTTATTAATATTTTATTAAAAGATAATATGAAAATTGTGAAAGGATGGAGAAATTCCTAGCGTAGGATAGATTAGGAATATGAGATTGAAAAAAATAAAAAATAAAAAATGAAATTATACAAATGATGTGGGCCCCACATCCACTATAATTAAAAAAATCAAAAATAATTTTTTTTTTTGGTGCAAAAAATAATTTTTTTAAATAAACATGCTGGGCCCACACAAGGATTCACCAAGCAAGCATAAATTTCTCCCCATTTTTGTTGGGCTCACACAGACACAGCAAAAAGTTGCAGAGGCGCGTTTGAGCTACAGTGATAGATACATACAAATACATACAATTTTTGTTTTCCTTTTGTTTGGAGAGGATGACTATCGGCGCCAGAGAAGAAATATCAGCGGCGGAGGTCCCGCTGCTCAACGACGTCGTCCCGAGGTCCGTGGACTTCAGGGGGCGGCCCTCCGTCCGATCGAAGTCCGGCTGCTGGAAATCCGCCTCTTTCATCATAGGTACGATTCGAAAAATCGATCGTCGTTGAGCGATTTTCCGGCGATCGTGATCGGGAATTTCGCGGTCGCCGAGCTGATTTTTTTTTTTTCGAATTTGCTTTTTTTTTTTTTTTTCTTAAATTTAAGCTCTTTTACTGTTTGTTTTAGGAGCTGGAGTGGCGGAGAGGCTCTCGTACTACGGAATAAGCGTGAATCTGGTGAACTACCTGACCGGAAAGCTGGGGCAGCCGACGGCCACGGCGGCGTCTGTACTGAACGCGTGGTATGGAACGGCGTCGCTTTTGCCGATTTTGGGCGCGTTTTTAGCAGACTCGTTCTCCGGGAGGTTTCGTATGATCATCGCGTCCTGCGTGCTTTACGTCTCGGTTAGTTTTCTGTTTTTTTTTTTCACCTCTTTTTTATGGTGTATGATATGAAAGTTGTTTTGGATTTTTTTGTCTTATTATTAAACGTTATTAAAAAATTTTATTTATCGAACGGTTGAAATTCAGCGGCTCAGTGCCCACGGGCGGCTGAGATTCACAGTCAATAGATATTTTTTATTCCTTTCTATTTAAAAAAATGTAATTCTAGTTTTATCAACTATTTGTCAAATTAATGTCGTTTTTGGATATTTTGTACATATTTTTTTTATTATTACATTTATTTAGCTAATAAATCCATTACGTCTTTTTATATTCATTATTCATTTTTTTTTTCAAAACAATCATCTCTATCTTCATTAAATAAAGTTATTATTGACAAAAAAATTATTTTTAATTAATGTACAATTTCTCAAAATAACATATATTAAAAATAAGAAAGTAGTATTTTTTTTGTGTAACTCTGTAATTGCATTAGGGACCTTGGACTTTTGTTTATTTGGTTTTCATCTAACCGAAATAACTGAAAAATGTCTCAAGGTTAATATTTTTAAGTCCTCAACTCATATTGCTTTTTTTAGGGGGCCCCTGAAAACGTTGGAAATATGAACTTACTCTATTGCTGCTAATGTTAAAAAAAATCCCATTTTCCTTTACTCTTTCTGGTAAAAAAACAAAATTGTTGAAATTGTTTTAATACTCAACCTTTTTCTGCAGCTACATCGTTGTCATATCTGATAGCTGTCCAAATTTTGTGTGTGTGTGTGTGTGTGTGTCTGTGTGTGAGATATTATCTCTTTTACTTAGATAGACCGAACAGTGTAAATTTGATTGACTGCGACTGGTCTTGAAGGAAGATTTCAGGAAAAAATAAAATATTTTCTACCCAACTTGCAAACCCAGATATTTATGTCCACGTATAGACTACTTCGGAAATACTAAGATCCCGTTACGTAACTATTCCGTCGGGATTCGTAACCGTTAGATCATTATTATGTAACCATGATAGATAGTTGATTTAACAGTTACATACCTCGATAGAATAGTTCCGTAACGGGACCGTAACATCTTCCTAGACTACCTATCATTTTAAATCATAATTATTTCACCTATTTTTGTATTACATCAATTCGATCTTGCAACTCAGATGTTTTTACCTGAAAATATTACTTTTCAAACTGTATTTGCTACTCTGAATTTTCAAACGGAAAGTGACAATTCATTTACTTGTGCTCTGTTGTGTATATCCACAGGGACTCAGCTTCCTTTCCCTGTCGGCCGCACTACGTTCGGCCGACGCCTCTAAATGCAAGCCCGCCGCAAATTACACTGCCAGCTGTACACCTGACCATCTCCAGCTCACATTCTTCTTCTTCGCTCTCTACCTAGTCGCCATAGCACAAGGCGGGCTCACGCCGTGCGTGCAGGCCTTCGGGGCCGACCAATTTGACGAGGATGACGAGGATGAATCCGAATCCAAAAGCTCGTTCTTCAACTGGTGGTATTGTTTCTCGTCGGGGGTTATAGTCGTGCCCCTATTTGGCCTCACATACATTCAGGACAACGTGAGTTGGGAGCTCGGGTTCGGTATCCCGGCCGTTGTCATGTGCCTTACCTTGGTTGTGTTCTTGGTCGGGTGCCCGACCTATCGGTTTCGGGTCAACCCGGGCGGGATGAACCCGTTCGTGAGGATCACTCTGGTTTTCGTGAAGGCTGTCAGAAATTGGCGCGCTCACCCCGGGCCCGAGTTGTGCGAAGAGGAAGGAGTTCTTCCACGTACCGGTTCTCAATTCAGGTTAGTCCGAATATGTCCAAAATTTGTTGAATATGGCTATATTTAGTAAATCTTTAGCTCATAACTTATGACTGATATCAGAAAAACTAGTTGAGTTCAAATATGTCCAAAATTTGTTGAATATGGTTATGTTTGGTAAATCTGTAGCTGATAACTAGCTGATAACTTATGACTTATGAGTGATAGAAGAAAAATTAGATGTGTTCAAATATGTTCGAAATTTGTTGAATATGGCTATATTTGGTAAACATGTAGCCGATAACTTATGTCTGATAGCAGAAAAATTGACTGAATTCAAATATGTTGGAAATTTGTTGAATATGCCTATATTTGGTAAATCTATAGCTAATAACTTATGACTGATAATAGAAAAATTAGTTGAGTTCAAATATGTTCGTAATGTGTTCAATATGGCTATATTTGGTAAATCTGTAGTTGAAACTTATGACTGATAGTAGATAAACTAATTGAGTTCAAATATGTCCGAAATTTGTTGAATATGACTATATTCGTAAACTTGTAATTGATAATTTATGACTGATAGCAGAAAAACTAGCTGATATAACAAAAGTGTTAAACAAAATTAGTTGATATGATAAGCTAGTTGAAATAAAAAATTTATTTTGCCCAACATAAGGTTTCTCGACAAAGCATTGCTGACGCGAGACGGCTGGGCAGAGGATGACAAGGTATGCTCGGTTGGTGACGTTGAGGACGCGCGGTCGATCCTCCGACTGATCCCGATATGGTTTGCGTGCCTCGGGTACTCGATCGTGTACGCCCAACCGGCGACCCTCTTTACGAAGCAGATCGCGACGATCGACCGGCGAGTCACCCCGTCGTTCGAGATGCCGGCCGCCTCAATCCAGCTCTGCTTCATCACCGCGGTGGTGATGGTCTGCCTCCCACTCTACGACCGGGCCCTCGTCCCCCTAGCCCGTAAAATTACCAAAACACCCTCCGGCATCCCGACCCTCGGCCGCATCTCGTTCGGCCTCCTCCTCTCCCTCTCCTCCATCGTGATTGCGGCCCTCGTCGAGCGGCGCCGCCTCTCAACCGCCAGCCAGGCGGGCCTCCCTGCAGGGGCCGTGGTACCGATGAGTGTGTGGTGGTTCGCGCCCCAATACGTTTTGTCTGGGATAGCCGACGTTTTCGCGATGGTCGGCCTGCAGGAGTTCTTCTACGGGGAAGTGCCGGCCGAGCTCAAGAGCGTGGGGCTCTCCATGTACCTGAGCATACTCGGGATCGGGAGCCTGCTTAGCAGCTTCCTCATCTCGTCGATACAGGTGGCGACAAGCCGTGGGGGCCGGCCCGGATGGTTCGCGGACGATCTGAACCGGGCCCACCTCGACTACTTCTACTGGCTGCTGGCGGGGATGAGCGCGCTTGGGTTCGTCGCCTTCACATGCTTCACCAAGTCGTATATGTATAAAAGAACCAAGGTTCATTCATAAAAAACTACAATGAAAAACGAAAAAAAAAAAAGGTTTATGTCGATTATCGCCGCCCTTTTGGTTTATGCCGATCGGCCGACGAAAACGTGGTGGCGGTTGTGGTGTTTGTTCGTGAAAGATTTAGTTTTGGACTCACGATTCAGTTAGTTTGTGTATTAATATTCTCGTGTTGTTAGTTACTGCGATGTGTTTTATTATTTCGCAGGGTAATTTGTTTTTGTATACGGAGGTTGGGAAGTGGATAGATGTACAGGGAACAAATTTGTTTAAAATTGTATGAAATTTGTTTAAAATTTCACTTGCTCCAGAATTATGGAAACAAATTGTTTTGTTAAGAGTTTGTTTCTTTCTATTTTTGTTCTTTTTTTTTTAACCAAAGTAAAAAAGAAAAAAAAAGAAAGAATTCCTGATTATTCAGACCTTAGTGGACGTTTATGTACTGGTGGTAGTAATCTCATAGACCCGATCACTCTCCACCGAAATAAACTCAACTCTCACAGAGAAGAATCAAATACTCTAACAATGGAAAAGAACAAAACACAAAACACAAAACAAATCATAAAAAACATAAAACATAAACAAACAATGAAAAACTAACTATAGTATAAGTAATACTTTTCCCGTCTCCCGAACAATTAACTACGCACTACAACTGCTACTTCACAGCAAAGATCTTAAAACAACAACCCAAGTCGGGCAGGACCGCAATAAAGACACCAATATTTGAGAACTCCGAAACAATACTGCTCAATTGGCTAGACAAATTCGGAATTGACGAAATCACACACCTACATCAAGGTTGTCTTGAATGTCCACCACGTAGAGATTGAATCAATACATACCTAAACAAATAACAAATGTGTGTGTGGGAAAGTTTCACCCTAATGCTTACAACTTTGCAGTCATCAGGTTCTTTACGCTTGGATCAACATACATTGGTGGGTGTGGGTATTTATTGAACACATGAAAAAATAATAAACACACACACACACTTAAAAAACTAGATGATTGTAATACAATCGCATGATAGGATCAAATGCTCCGTAACCTAACACCTAAAGTCCCGGTAGTGCATTGATTGGTAGAATGAATTTTTTTAGAGCATCACAATGCATTTGGTCTCTTAAAAAAAATAAAACATGTCGTGTAAAAAATAGACTTAGTCTATAAAAAACGTCTTCCAATGCAATTAAAGCGGACATGGTCTGTTTATGTGGCAATAAAAAAAAGAAACAAAGTCCATTCTTAAGTCTATTTTGAACTCAAGTACAAACATGAACAATCAACAATTATTTTTATTTTAAAATTTTCTTTTAATATAGTAAACATATTTGAACATTTTTATTGGTTGACAAGTATTTCTAGACCTAGTATTTTAATTTTGCACTGAATAGTTTTTGGGTTTCATTTATGTTGGTAGCTTATGATGTGCTTCACGTGCGTGGCACCGCACCTGTTTGCCCTCGTTTTTTACATGGTATCAGAGTCGGTTCTACATGAGACCATGCGATGATATACCCGTCACCCAGCCTAGTTGGACTTGGGACAATTGGATCCAATGTATTGTGTGTGTTTGAGTGCAGTGGCGAAACTATGTTGGGGTCGGGAGAGGCGCCGGCCCCTCCAAAAAAAAAAAATTAAATTAGGGGTGGAGGATTTTGCTGGAACTGGAAGATTTTCCTTTGAGCGCGCACGTTGGGCCGTCCCCGGTTTCATGCGGTACATACATGGCCGGAGGGGCGCCACTAATTTTGTCGTGAATTTTTTTTAAAGGCAAATTGAGCCTGCCCGAAACGGGATCCTGGTTTCGGGACAAGTATAACAACAGCAGAATTTAATAATTTTTTCATTTTTATTATATTTTGAGTTGGTTAATTAGCCAACTTGTGATGTACCGATGGGAATCAAAAATCGAGTCGATCATTACCGAAAAATACTTTTATGAAAGTACGGGAAGCGGAGAGTGCGTTGGTGGCGTCGCTTTATGATTTTGAGGTCCCGACCATTTATTTTGGGTAGTCCGAAGTTAATAGAAAAATGGCAGTGGCGGTGACTTTATTATGTCATTTTCATGTCTAGACTTCGGGTAACCGTCGGTCCTCGTTAGGCGTGCTGAAAATTAGCGGGAGTGCTTTCTTGAAAGCACGAGAACAGTAGAAGCCGTTCGTAAAATTTGTTTCACGTTTCGAAGTTTCGAGCATTTATTTTGAGAAGCTCGAAGTCGAGTGTCGAGTGCGCATAATAGAAGAATAAAAAACCGTCTTGCGGGTTTCCGTAAGGTTGCGTGTGACCTCGGTTTAACGAGAATCGAGTTGGAGCGTGTAGACAATTCAAGCACGATTCCATACGGATAAATTTCGTATTTTTCGGAGTTCCGAACATTTATTATGAGAGTTTCAATTTCTGCGTTAAATAGTATCAAAATGAGCAAATTTGTCGATGACGAGTTCGATCGTTCGAGGCTTCGTTTTCTCAAATTTTTCAGCTTTTCGTCTATTCGAAAGGAGGTATTTATTATTATAATTGAGTTCGAGATTTCTATTAGTATAAATTTGAGTATTTTTCAAGTTAAAACAATTCAGTTTCAGTATACCAGTTTAATTCCGGACTTAGTTTGATTTTTAGAAAAATCTCTAGAGTATTCCTTTATATCTTGCTAAAATTTTTGAAAGCGTCCACAAAAGCCCTTTGAGCGCCTTCCGATGTCGGAGTGGAAGTGGTACGCCGCGGGATGGCCGGAGTGGAGGTGGTGCGCCGCGGCAAATTGGGCCCTCCCCGAGAATCGAATATTTATGTATACATGTTATGGCGTGTGGAATCTACCTTTGCACCGACACGTGGAATCGACCCTTATGCATACTTGAGTACTATATTACGTGTACCTTCTTTTATTGTCTAATATCGGTCCGAAACTGTATTATTTATGGCATTCGTCCCTTATTTCTGCAATTTTTGTTAACCAGCAAGTGGGCCTGAGCCATGGGCTTTCTAGGGTCACGTTTATATTCAAGGAAACTTTAAAGGTGCAACGACCGTCCAATTGTAAACATTGTCACGACTCATGAAAGCTAGGGATGATTGGATATAATTTTTTTTTTTAAGAAAAAAAATTAATTATTTTAACTAATCACTTTTTCTAATTTTAATCTAATTCAATTTTAATTCAACTTCAATATTCTCAAAATTTTTAATATAATTAAATAATATCATTTGATAATTCTTACACATTACATCAATTTTAATTCACTATTCATTCGCTGACATAATTTTAATTAATCATCACTTCATATTATTATCTCTCCTACTTTTATATCAAATCAATTGTAATTGTTTTATTTTAAATATTATTTTAATATAAATTAACTCAAAATCCCACAACTAACCATATATACCACATTTTTCAAAATTAACCATACCAAAACTAACAACTAAAATCCTTTTTTTTTTTTTTT